TTTATATATATAAATATATATATTAAAGGTTGCATGATTTCTAATAAAATAGCTTTTTAAACCGTTAACGAGGGGTTTTTTTTTCTTTTGGCATCAAAACAGTCTGCTAAAAGAAACCTTGATCTTGCAACTTCCGTGGAAAGATGATTAATGACGCGATGGCAGGTTTTGCACTGAAAAAAGGGGGCGGTGATCATCGGTCCTCAGCCCTAACCCTTCGTTTCAGCCCTCCGAGCCTTCGTCCGCCTCCTGCCCGTGCTGCTGACCAGCCCCAAAGTGGGGTTGTTTTTAATCCCCCCTCCCTCCCCTCCTCCCCCATCTTCCTTCCCTTCCAACTGGCCTGCCCAGCCCCCCTCGTGTGTCCCCACAGCCTGTCTCCCCTTGGGGTGGGGAGAAACAGGACTCCTGGGCTGGGTGCAAGACGTTTGCACTGGGGGTCTGGCTGTGCTGAAACCCCCCCATGCAAAGGGAGCGTGCTTGCTCAGGGGTCTGCGGGCAGTGGAAAAGCAATCCCGCAGGCTGCAGTGTGGGGCCCAGGGAGCTTAAATGAGGGGGCCATGACCCCTCACTTCAGTCTCCATCTTGTGCATGTTCCACCACCACCATCACGACCCCACCCTCCCCATATCGATCTGTATCTCTGCCCCGCAGACGAATTAAGGCTCTCGCGCTCCTGCTAAACTCTAAACACCAGCCCGAGTCTCTTGTCTGCTGAATCCACCCCGTGGATCAAGGAAACAGGAGGCCTCCTTTGAGCAGGGGCCACGTCCCTGAAGCAGTAACCATCCGTGGGGGGAGACGTGGAAGAACGCTGGTGATTCTGGCCGAGTTTGTCTAGAGAGACGTTGGGAAGCGGGCGGTCCAGTGATCCAGAGCCATTTTCTCTGCCCCCCCCCCGCCCAAGTTGGGAAGGGAAATTGGGGAGATTAACTGCGTGCTGGTGTTTGAGGTTCTGTTCCTGTCAGAGCAGGCTGGAGATCATCTATCGGTTGGAAACCTTCACTGAGAATACTGCATCTTACTAGGGCGCTTGCAAAAAAATAAATTAAGGTGTCTCGCAAAGGGATTTGCTAATTCCTCCTTTTGTTTCCAAGGCAACTTTTTTTTTCCTGGCTGCTTCTGAAGCAGCTGCTGCCAGCCTGCCAAAGTGCACAGATGTTCCTCCTGTTTGAGCCTCGGTCTGGCTGGAGGCTACAGGGGGTGCCCCAGCTCCCGTCCGCCCGCTCAGGAACATGGGCCGCGTGTGAGGTTGAGCCGGAGTTCCAGAGAGGCCCTAGGGAATTGCTTGGGCTGAGAAGTGGGGCCTGGCCGGCCCTCCCCTGCTTCGTTTTCTAACGAGGATTTCTAACCGGGTTGTTTTAGGTTGGAAAGTGGCTTGTAAATACTGTGGTTCTGGGAAATGCTTTCAAAGACTGTGATCATCCTCATTCCCCTTCGTTTGGAATGATGGGAGCAAATATTCTAGAAAAAGACGGGCCTCGAACTCCCTTTCTGGATGGGAATTAAAGCGTTGGAAGACCCCCTCTCCCACTGGGGAAGGCTGCATTCTGCACTGGGGAGAAAGAATGAGGGTGCGGCATTGCTCCTGAGCATGGAAATGTAGAGCGGGTGACTTCTATTGCAGTGTCGGGTTTTCTGTAACCGCTTCAAGTAGCCACTTTGGGTCTCCAGGAAGAGTTGGAGATGAACCTGAACCATGAAATCCCCTTGAATATGTAGGTTGTAGAGGAGATCGGGGGAACTTCTGCAGAACTAATCTAGTGGGAATGCTGTAGGTGAACTCCCTGGTTGACGGTGCTCTGGCTCTCAATCGGACCAGGGTCTGGAGTATAGAATTGGTGTATTTGGTCTCTGAGGATCAGAGTTTTGTAGCATGTTGATGTTTCAGGATATTGTGGAAGGTGTTCAGTACTGGGCTTCCCCTCCTGGAAATGGGGCAGGTTCTTGAGGAAATGGTGGTGGTCATTATAAGAGCATACAAGGTTTAGATGGGGACTGGAGGCTTCCTAAGGCATCTCTTTTCTCTTCAGTAGAATAATGACCATCTTCCAGGATAGACCTGACCAAGGAGGTCTTCTAGCTTGGAGCATGGCCTTCTGAAAGGTAGCAAGTGAGAATGGGCAGGTACAGAGGGCTTTTTCGGTGCAAGCAGGTCTCTCAGAACTTTTCCCAACATGTGCCCTCTGGAGGTATTGGATGAGTCCTTCCATCACCCCCAGCTGGCACAGGCTGATGAAGGTAGTAGTCTGACACATCCAGAGGGCAGCCAACAGGGGAAAATTGCTTTACAATGAAGTAGTTTTCATGGTGGGCACAAAGGAGTGCTTCACAGCTGAGCTGACCGAAAGAGCATGAAAGGGTGCTGAGGAACCGCACCGGAAAACCAACAATGCTCATAACTTTTGATTGAAGTCAGGTATATCTGAAGGACAGCACCTAGCTGATGTGGACTGCTCTTGGCTTAGTTGGGGCTTGGATTGGAGACCTCCAGGAATGTCCAGAGCTGTAGACTAAACTGGCAGTCCCACCATGATGTCCTACCCTTGTTGCGTGAATGTGGGCAGAGGATGGCAGAGGCTGTGGAGCGTTCTTCACACTTCCCTGGCTCAATAGCCAAAGCAGGAGTGGTTCTCAGTGCTTAGTAGGCTGAAGAATTGGAGTTGGGGGAGAAGATGGGAGCTCCTACAGTTGTCCTTGAGATCTTTCCCCCCACTTAGCCACTCCAGTGCCTGTGCAGAGCAACCTAGGTTTTCTCCCTTCCTGCCCAGCCCAGCCATCTTCTCTATTTGTGCAAATGGTGGGAGAAGATGGGGATAGAGGCAGAGCAGAAGGGTGCGAAGTCCTGGGCCCCCAGGATGCTTCTGCGTCCCACTGGACTGGGAACAAGAAGGCCATGAGAGGCTGTGGGGTGAAAGGAGGCTGTTCTTGGTGTGAAAGTTGTGGCTCTTTCCCACCATCCCAAATGGTCCCTTCCTCCAGTTCCGTTGGGGCCGCGTGTGGCTTGGGAAGAGGCAGACAGAATGAGTGAAGCATTTGGCTGGATTTGCGCAGCAATATGGAATTACAAGTATTCTCACATTAGTCTAGAGCAGTGTTTCTCAACCTTGGCCCCTTGAAGGTGTGTGGACTTCAACTCCCAGAATCCCCCAGCCAGCAAGTCCACGCATCTTAAAGTTGCTAAGGTGGAGAAACGCTGCTCTAGGGAGCGGAATGGGTGGGGAGAAATGCATGGACAATGGCTGGGATACAGGAGACGGGGTGGGTGGAACTGGTCCAGGTGGGAGCCCCCAACCTCACTGCCGAGATAATGGGGCCCCTTCTAAGAAATAATCCACCTCTTTTCTTTCCTTCTCCTGGTCTTGGACTTGTAATAATAGCATGAGCGTCTCGGTTAGCTGCATTTTTTGGATCTGATGT